CGATCCGGCTCGAGGAGTGCCGCAGAGAGGTGGGGTCCGGGGTTCGGAGAATGCTCGAAGGTCGCAGGCACGCCGAGAAGTGTTTTTGTTAAAGCCTTCCCCGAAGACACAGAACACTTCTCAAAGGTTAGGGGACTTCTCAGTCGCTCCGCCGCCTTCTGAGAAGGCATGCCCCTTCTCACTTCCCCCCCTCACTCGCCGCCAAGTGAATGTCCACGGTGTTGCATTTTTGCCGGCGACGTCGGATCTTGGGACCGACGCCGACGCCGATGTCAACGTCGAGGTCGACGACGACGGACGACGGACGCTAGACGCCCGACGACGGAGGACGAGGACGACACCAGGCCTGCAACGCAATGAGACCATTCAGACTTCGCTTCGAATAGAAGCACCCCGCATTTGCGGATAAGAGTGAGGGGGCGGCAATGACGTCGTCAGTCTGCGAGGCTCTGAAGAAGCCCGCCGCAGGCGCCTAACTTTTACAGATTATGCAGTGAGCCCGCCGCAGGCGCCGATTTCTTCGTTAAAGCGATGTGGGTGGATCGCGGGGGGGGCCGCGGGCCGCGGGGGGGTCGCGGGTGGGCGCGGGCCGGGTCGCGGATGGGTCGCGGGTGGGTCGCGTATGTGTCGCGGGGTGGGGTCGCGGGTGGGTCGCGGGGTGGGTCGCGGGGTAGGTCGCGGGGTGGGTCGCGGGGTGGGTCGGTGGGTCGCGGGGTGGGTCGCGGGGTAGGTCGCGGGGTGGGTCGCGGGGTGGGTCGGTGGGTCGCGGGGTGGGTCGCGGGGTGGGTTGCGGGGTGGGTCGCAGGGGATGTCGCGGGGTGGGTCGCGGGGGGGGTCGCGGGGGGGTCACGGGCAGGTCACTGGGTGGGTCGCGGGGGGTGGGTCGCGGGCGGGTCCCGCGGGGTGGGTCGCGGGGTGGGTCGTGGGGTGGATGGGATCTCCGGGACGCCGGACACGTCCCAGACATGTGATGTCTGGATTTTTTCGATACGCGGTCCCCAGAGGTCCCGATCCTGTCCCCAGGGCCGTTTCTTCATCCCGACTCGATGATCCTTAGAACGTGTGTAAAGTTTATGTTTGTGTCGTTGATTATTCTTCGATGTTTGCGCCAACGTGCGTTTGTGCACTGAAGACCTCCAGTGCGCCGCAGGCTATGAGGACCAACACGGGCAAGAGGTGAACGTGAACACACGTTGGGCCAACACACGTCCTGAGGATCCTCGAGAAGCGTTTTTTGACGGTCCGAGGCCCGGCGATGGCCCCCCCGAGGCTGAGAATTGCCGAACACCTCCCGTCGTGACTTTTCCTACGACGCGAGTACGTCTGGGGACGGCGGCGGACGCTGGACGGCACCGAGTTCGTCGCGGCGGCGGCGGCGGCAGCGGCGTGGTGCGCTGCTGACAGTAGTCAGGCAGATGCGATAAGAAATGTGGACATGAGAAGTCTAACAGCAATCCTTCGTCGACTCTGAGCTTCGCATGGTGCCCCAGGGCTCTGCGGCCCCGTTGGGCGACAAGAAACCATCGTGGGGGATCATCGTGGTGTGCCTGCTGTGCTTCGACTGCCGCCCAAGACGCATTGCAACATCGAACGGCCAGAACCCTAGACTCCATCTCTCTGCGGCATTCTTCGAGCAAGATCGATCTGTGCGGGTCCTGGGGCCCGGAATCCGGAGAAAACGCCCGTCATGAGAAATTTGCACCGCCAGGATCTCAGTTGTTCTCTGGGATGACGGACGACAGTGAGAATGGCAGCCGACACAGAATTCGTCACGGCGCTGGCGGCGTTGACAGCGGCGTGGTTCACGAGCGGCGAATAAATATCTGTAGCCGTGTCCTCGCGGTCTTGATTCCTTGGCGCGATTCCGTGGATATGCGGCGTTACGGATACGCTCCGCTCGGAAAATATGCGAAAGATGGTCGCGGCCCAGGGGTCCAAACCTCGAGGCCGCGGATACGGATACAGGCATCGTGCTACCACAAGGAACGCAGAACAAGGGACGAAGAGGCTTTTCTGGCCACGGCGTGCCTAGGCCACAGACAGGACCCACGACATAAATTTAAGGAACGGCCCGAAAACCCGAGCCCCTCCTAAGACCCAGACGGTCCTTCTTTCAGCGTCTTGACTGTACGACGCAGCCGCCGCTGGCGACGACGCCGACCAGCCACGACTCCTGGAGCCCGAAGCTCGGATTCACGTGAAGCGCAGTGAGGCTCCCAAACCTCAAACGCATTGAGGCATTTCAATTCAATGCCTTTCGCTGTTTTCGGCCTCCGGGGTCCTTCGCCAGGCCCCGGGACCGTCAACAAGAACAACTACTCAGGAGCGTCATAGTCCAGTGCGCCTCGCCGCGACGTCACCAACAATACATAAATTACGGCACGTCGGACACACATACTCTATTGTGATGACCATGCCGCCAAAGCCAGCACTGACACTTCCACGCGAACTCTGCCCGGAGCAATGGCGAAAACCACACCTCGCGCGCGCGCGCGGCCCCGCCGTCGCTCTCCCGCCGCCGCCACCTGGCGACTCGGAGAGAGAGAGAACGGGGTGAGCTGCTCAGGATGAAAAGCCTGTCCCGGGGAAAGGGAGGGACAACGATAGCGGGGGACTGGCACAGGTGGGGAACATTTGAGTAGGGCTGGGGGGTAAGGTCTGCAGAACACCCCAAACGGACGTCAAGGGGCGCAACCAACCTGTTCGGTCAAGCTGCAATTGACAAATTGATGCACCACACCCGGCGTGAAGCCAAAACTTTGGACATAAGCGAATGGTTGGATTGTGCACATCTTCATCGAATTAACCGGCAAGGCGCTTGACTCGCTTGACCACTTTGACGTCCCTTTTTGGTGGTCCTGCAGAGGAAGGCGCTCTCTGACCCTCGCCCCTACTCAAGGGAACATCGACCTGGAATCGGCAATACATCGCCGATAGATCGGCGAAGGGGCCCCCGATTGCGAGTCCGCACCTTCCTGGGCAGGGCGGGGCTGTCGGGCCCCTGTCGACGATGTGTGGACGATTGAGGGTCGATGCGTCCCCCCCTGTCCCACTAATCCCCCCTAGCGCTGCCACCGATTCCAATCGAACCTAGGCCATAAAAAACATCCCTCAAGAACGCGAGACCCTCTGCTGGCCAAATGCGCATAACACCCAAGGGTGCTAAGGGTGCTGACAGAAATCAGCGCCATAAGCATTAACGTTTGGCGCTCCGCACGGATTTCTTGGGTTGGATCTGCGGTGTGCCCCCTCCCTGGCGCGCGGAGCGCGCCAGGGGCTGCGCCCGAGGCGCCGCTGGGTGGGCCCAGCGCGGATCCATGAAATCCGCGCGGAGCGCCACAAGTTATGATCGTGGCGTTTTGTCCGTCTTCGAGATACCCTCCTCAGGGTGCAATTTCCGGTCGGGCATATCCTCCTACAGGCGGAATCTGAAGGACAAATCAGAAATAGTCAAACATGATCACAAACAGACAGAAAATAACCGACAAATCTTCCTCGGGCTATGTTTTGACAACTTTTGAAGATTCCTCCCGTAAAGGGACATGCCCGACCTCACTGCAGTTCGGCGTCCTATGGGGGGAGACTCCCCCTGCTCGAAACAGGCGCCAGAAACAGCCAAGATCTACTCCATGGGGGGGGCGAGGGCCCGCACCGATCGAACAAAAAAAGTATCCCGGCAAAGCAACCTAACAGCGATGTGTAGGAGCATATCTGGAAGCATTCCCCTTACGATTCAGATGAGAATCCAGTTGTAGAATTCTGCTGTTCTCGCAGTCGCAGTCGCATTCGCGATGACAGTCGCAGTGGCAACGGCAGTCGCAGTCACAGCCTCAGCCTCAGCCTGCCTCAGCCTCAGCCTCAGCCTGCCTCAGCCTCAGCCTGCCTCAGCCTCAGCCTCAGCCTGCTTCAGCCTCAGCCTCAGTCTGCCTTCAGCCTCGGCCTCAGCCTCAGCCTGCCTCAGCCTCAGCCTGCATCAGCCTCAGCCTCAGCCTCAGCCTGCCTCAGCATCAGCCTGCCTCAGCCTCAGCCTCAGCCTGCCTCAGCCTCAGCTCAGCCTGCTTCAGCCTCAGCCTCAGTCTGCCTTCAGCCTCGGCCTCAGCCTCAGCCTGCCTCAGCCTCAGCCTGCATCAGCCTCAGCCTCAGCCTCAGCCTGCCTCAGCTCAGCCTCAGCCTCAGCCTCAGCCTCAGCCTGCTTCAGCCTCAGCCTCAGTCTGCCTTCAGCCTCGGCCTCAGCCTCAGCCTGCCTCAGCCTCAGCCTGCATCAGCCTCAGCCTCAGCCTCGTCTCAGCCTCTCAGGCCTCAGCCTCAGCCTCAGCATGCTTCAGCCTCAGCCTCAGTCTGCCTTCAGCCTCGGCCTCAGCCTCAGCCTGCCTCAGCCTCAGCCTGCCTCAGCCTCAGCCTCAGCCTACCTCAGCATTCAAAATGTGGCGCGGGAATGGAGTTCTGGGAACTCGAAGAACACGAAGTGGGAATGGAGTTCTGGGAACTCGAAGACCACGAAGTGGCCTACAGTTGGCTCTGGGCATTCAAAATTATGCCCAGGAACGGACTTCTGGGACCTCGAAGACCACGAAGTGGCCTACAGTTAGCTCCGGGCAGTCAAAGCGTGGCCCGGGAATGGAATTTTGGGAACTCGAAGAGCACGAAGTGGCCTACAGTTTGCTCCGGGCATTCAAAATGTGGCCCGGGAGTGGAATTCTGGGAACTCGAAGAGCACGAAGTGGCCTACAGTTGGCTCCGGGCATTCAAAATCATGCCCGGGAATGGAGTTCTGGGACCTCGAAGACCACGAAGTGTGTAACTGTTTGCTTAAAACGACTTCTCCCCGGCACCCGCCCAGACCCCCCTGGGGAGTCAAGATGCTCTCTTTTGACACTACTAGAAACCTAGCAGTCTTCGCTTTTAGGTAACAGTGCACAAGAAAAACATCACTGGTTCAGCGGCCTCCTCCTGCCTCCGCTGACGCGAGGGGCAGCGGCGCGGGCCGGGGCCGCGGCGGCCTGGACGATGCCGTCCAGCCGGGCGGCGCCCGCGGGCCGCCAGGCGCGCCGGGAGCCCGCGGCCGCCTGGGGGGCACCGCGCGAGGGGCGGCGGCCCGTAGCCCTTTGGGCAAGTTGGCCCCGTCCCTCTACAGGAGGGATGCTCCAAAATGGTAAAAAAGCTCTGGGGACGATTTGTCGACTGTTTGTTGACTACTGTTAAATATTTGTTGGCTGTTTCTTAGTTTTCCTCCGCATCGATTAGCGCCTGTAATCGATAAGATGGCGACGATTGACCATGGTTTTGCGTCGATGAGCGTCGATTTAGCGTCGATTAGCGTCGATCTGCGGGAGCCGATTTAGCGTCGGTTGGCGCCAGTCTAGCTTCGGTTAGCGTCGATTTAGCGTCGATCCGCAAGAGCCGACACGATGGTATGGCAGGCTCCCATGTGTTGCCACCGAGCCGTCGCGCCCCTTCGCAAGGAGGTCGGCCGACACATCGAATCGGCACAGTCGGATCGGGCGAGCTCGACATTGAAGCGATGATAACAAAAAGCGTCTTGCGCGAGGTGACGTAGCGATCTTTCTACGCGGTGGTTTACGCGGACCGTCAGCGCGGGCACGCCACATTTGAAGCCAGGGCGCTTACGCGCGACCTTACGCGGGGAGCTTACAGTCAACCCGTATCATAAGGATGCGCGGTAAGGATGCAAGGGCCTTGGAGGGCCTAGTTGACGCTTTCCGAACGAGATTGGCCAGTCAAAGTCGCTAAGGATGGGCCGAAGGGGCAGGGATGCAAAAGTACCCTCAAAAACGCTGCCCATCCTTACTATGCGGGTTGACTGTGCGCGTGAATGTCCGCGCAATCGAACCCGTTTTGCAGAGTCGCTCATTTCGAAATCGCGAGATCGGACTTTCCACATCGAATCGGTTCGAATCGGCAGACCGGGAAAGCACATCGAATCGGACCAGCGGCGTCGGACTGACCCCTGGGCGGGGGTCGAGGATAGAGGATGTCCCAGCTCGGGCGTCGAGGATCGAGGATCCCTGAGACCAAGGCATTGCAATGTTTTGACACCGGGCGTTCTCGTCAGATTTCAGGTCCCTTGGACCAACACAGATCGATTGGCTCGGACAAAAAACAAACAGAAACGTGGTCCTTGGGCTCCGGTCGCCTGGGAGCGCCGCGGGGGGCCGGGGGGTCAATGATCGATTGCGACGTAACCTCTGGGATGCCTCCGTAAAAGCGGGCAAAGGAAACTGGGCGCAATTCAGAAGCCATTCAGCCTGAGCCAGATTACTAGCCCAGATCAAGAAGGGGATGAAGCTGAACTGCGCTGGATTAGCCGCGACCTGTCTTTCATATCCCCCATACTGGGAAAATCAAAATGATTTCTAATAGCTAATTGAGCCTACTGGCGCCCAACATCAATTGGCCAACAAACATTCCGCTGTCGTCGACACCCAACTCATCCTTCGACTACCGGCGCGACTACTACTACTACTACTACTACTACTACTACTACTACTACTACTACTACTACTACTACTATTACTACTACTACTACTACTACTACTACTACTACTACTACTACTACTACGACTACGACTTACTATACTACTTACTACTAACTACTACTACTACTTACAACTTCTACTTCTACCTAGTACTACTACGACTACTACTACTTGTACTACGACTCTACTACTTCTACTACTACTACTTATACTACTACTATGTACTACTGCTACTACTACTACGACTCTACTACTACTACTTTATTTTACTACACTACTACTACGGCTACAATACAAAACAGCTACTACTTTGTCTACTACTACTTACTACTACTTCACTACTACTAAAACTAACTAAGCTACTAAAACCACCGAAAAGTCTTGTTGTTTACTACTACTACTTTTTTCCATCTTTAATAAACTTACTAGTTTATTTTTATTACTACTCTACTATTACTACTACTACTTACGACTACTCTACTTACTACTTACTCACGACTACTACGAGTTACTATTACTACGACTATACTACTACTAACAACTACTACTACTACTACTTACTACTACCACTTCTACTACTACTACTACTGCTACTACTACTACTTACAACTACTACTACTACTACTACTACTACCACTATTACTACTACTACAACAACTACTACTACTACTACTACTACTACTAATACAAGTACAACTACTACAAGTACTACTACTACTACTACTACTACTAATACTACTACTACTACTATTACTACTACTACTACTGCTACTACTACTACTACTACTACTACTTCTACTACTACTACTCCGACTACTACTACAAAGACAATGTTTTCATCTACAACTACTACTACTACTATTATTACTACTACTACCACCACTACTACTACTACTACTACTACTACTGCTACTGCTACTGCTACTACTACCTACGACGACGACGACGACGACGACTACTACTACTACTACTACTACTCTTACTACTACTACTACGACGACGAGTACTACTACTACTGCTACTACTACTACTACTACTACTACTCCCCCCCTCCTTGTACTACTACCACTACTACTACTACTACTACTACTACTACTACTACTACTACTACTACTACTACTACTATTACTAAAACTACTAAAACTACTAAAATTACTACGACTACGACTACTACTACCACTACTACTACTACTACTACTACTACTACTACCACTACTACTACTACTACTACTACTACTACGAGTACTACTACTACTACTACTACTACTACCACTACTACTACTACTACTACTACTACTACTACTACTACTACTACTACTACTACTAATACTGGCGGTCTCGTGCACCACATCACCACGGCTCAACCACCTTGGGAAGCACGTCCTTGTGGCTGCCTCGTTGCCAGTATGTAACGGGCACCTCTTCTGGGTGAAAGGGCGGGTCTGACGTGCTCGCAGCGCCAGGCGCTTGTCCGAGGGCAGCTGGTCCCCACGGCCCAAAGTGAAGCGCCAGCGGCGGCGCGGCAGCACACGGGGCGAGCCCGGCACCGCCATCCAGGCCAACTAGCGCAAGAAGACGCGAGAAGAGGCCAGGATGGCAAGCCAAGGGCGGGTCTGACGCGCATGCAGCGGCAAGCGCTTGGCCGAGGGAAGCTGGCCCCTACGGCCCAAAGTGAAGTGCCAGCGGCGGCGCAGCAGCGCACGGGGCGACCCCCAGTGCCGCCATCGAGGCCAACTAGCGCAAGAAGGCGCGAGAGGAGGCCAGGATGGCAAGCCAAAATGGCAAGGCGCCCAACGGCGACGCGGCAGCGCGCGGGGCGGCCCCAGCACCGCCAGCGAGGCCCACGAGCGCAAGTGAGCGTGAGAGGAGGCCAAGATGGCAAGCCAGTTGGCGGGCCAGAGTAGCTAGGCGCACGGGTAACCGTACGTCGAGCAGAGGCTAAAGCCACAGGTGCTGCCACGCGAGGGGGGCGCCACTGTGGGCACGCCGCGCTACTGAAAGTGGCAGGCAAGAACTCTCGGCATGGACTCACGTGGCCTGCCGAGGGCCTGGAACCTGCTGGGCTTCATCATTCAGGCAGGCTGGCCTGCTCCCTGCGCAATGGCTGCGAAGACCTGCGACGGCAGCGCCTGCACTTCCCCCCCGAGGTCGCCGCTGCCGCCCGCCTGCCCTGAGGGCCCAAAGATCTGGCGCTCGAGATCTTCACCGAGGGCCACGTTCAGGGCTGCAACATTTGGGGTCTGCTGCGGGGGCGGGTCCGTCTGCGGCGGCGGGTCCGTCGGCGGCGGCGGCGCCGCTGGGGGGGCCGTCAGCGGCGGCGGCGGAGGGGCCATGATGGCCGCTGGCGGGGCTCCGACAGGCGGCGGTGGCGGGTCCTGGCAGTCGCGGGCCCCCCCCGCTGGAGGGGCGCTGGCGGTGCGGACGGGGGCGGCGCGCGGGGCGACCCCTGTGCCACCCCCGCCGCCCGCGAGGCTGCCCTCCCGCAGGTTGTGGCGGCGCTCGTAGAGCGCCAGCTCCCTGTGCGCCGTCCCCAGGCGCTCCCTCTTGGCCTCATTCCGCGACTTCTCGCTGTAGCCCGCCCACTCTGGGTCGTTCAGTCCCCAGGCGACCTGCGCGCACAGGTCGGTCCACTTGAACTCGATCAGGCTCTCCCAGGAGAGCCCCTCCATCAGCGCATAGTGGCCCTCCCACTGCGGCTGGCGTGGAGCGTAGCGCTTGAAGACGGCGCCCACTGCCAGCGGCTCGACCTTGGGCAGGCACTGCAGGAGGTCCACCGCGCTGAACACAGGTATCTCCTCCTTCTTGAGCTTGTCGTAGCGCAGCAGGGCCTTCAAGTCGCGGGTGTCCTCCTCGGGATGTTCCGCGCGCACGTAGTACGCACGTGGCGGGGTCAGCTCCTCCTCTATCAACTCGACGCAGACGCCGTAGGAGGTCGAGTAGCGCGCACCGCAGTGGCAGTGCCAGCGCTGGCCCGTCTCCCCCGCCGCCTCCTGCGTGCAGGTGAGCAGCTGCGTCCAGCGATCCGATCGGATCACCGAGCAGCATCCCCTGGGGGTGTCCCAGGTCTTGTTGGCCGAGCACGTGTAGTACATGTTGAACGCGAAGCCCTTGCCACGGTAGAACTGGTCCGCGTTGTCGCCCATGCGGCGGTAGACCTCCTGGTCCGCGGCGTTTGCCCTGGCACTCCTCCTTCCAGGCACGTTTGTGTCCCAGGTGTGCGTCCGCGATCCCCGAGGCTTCCAGGACGCCCTTCTTCAGCCTTCCCACATCCTCCTCTGCCTCCTCATTCAGCGCGTCGAGCCACTTCTGGACTCCGTTCTGCGCCTCTGCGCCCCTCACCATGTCCTCCTTGCTTCTCCAGGATGGGCCCCAGGCCCCCCAGCATGTGGGCACGCATGGTCTCGAATTTGAGGACGCCATAGGCCCGCGCCATACGCTTCAGCGTTTCTTGGAGAGGCCGAGCCGCAGCAGGGGCTCGATGTCCGTGACCTCCTCCACGGTCTTGACGTCGGTCAGCTGGTGCTCCTGGTTCTCAGCATCGATGTCGGGCTGGGGGTCGTTCTCCTCGTCAC